TTAATCGAGTTTCTTCTGAAAAATATTTCGATCATATGTGGCTTGTGGAAACTGTTCAGAATATGGCACGTAATTTATTTGAAAGAGGCTACAAATATATTTTATTTTGTGAAATAGATGAAATGGTTGTACCTGATCCAATGAAATATCCTTTAGGTCTTATGGATTACATTAAAAAAGCCAAGGAAAAAGTTATTCGTGTCAATCCCTATCGAATAGTTCATAATAATACATTAGAACCGAAACTCAATCTCAACAAACCCATTATGCCACAGCGACGTTATTGGGTGAAAGATAATGGGTACGATAAACCTTTGCTGATACGCAAGAAAATTCATTGGAAGGTAGGCTTTCATGCGTGTCAAGAAGATAGCATACAGTAAGATTTTCTTTGATTGATTGTATCAACGATTATTTTCATTTGTAATTTAGGGATCAGGACTTAGTCATGATTCATCTTCAGCGAATGGACCATGACTTTTATATGGAGCGTGCTGCTTGGAAAAGCAAACAGAATTTTAAGATGGAAGATCTTCAAAGAAGCTGGGGCACACAACATGTATTACATGGAGAAAAGGCAGAAGAATGGTTTTTTAGCGTCTCGGAAATTGTTTCCGAAATTCCAGTACGATTTCGCTCAGCATCTCTTTTCTAATACACGTTATTTCTTGTGCTAATGCTTTAGCTAGAAGACAATTATATACTCTAATAAATCAATGGAACAGAGAGGAGGATAATATAGAATGCATGTCGATGTGGATGTGTCATGCACACTCTCTAACTTCTTGCACATTAAACGATACTTAAATATTGAAATGATCAGATAAACGTGTGAGGATGTGAATAAAAATGAGAGTGGATGTGGATATGGCTATTGACTTTACTGTCATGCATCTTTACTTAAACATACACCGCCATCCATACATTTGGACAAGTAGTGGTGACATGAATGGCAGTAGTATCAGATTCGACAGTTGATTTCAACTATTCAACTATTAAACAAATCGATAATTACCTAACATCAAATAGCATCACGGATAGAAAAAACAATTAATCGAACCGACAACATTTCTTGATAGTACAGAAGTTACTCAATTAGAATATGCACAATTACACTGTCTCGTTCATATCTTTATTGATACTTTTAGACTAGTTCATTTTTCAGAGATATTTGTAGTATGTTGAATAAAAGAAAATAATTGTTAACTAAACAATTTCTTGTTCATAAGAGCAGAAGTCTCTCGTTTAAATCAAATCGGCAATGTCCATAGGCAATTCTTCAATTTTTGTATTGTAATATTGTTCAATGTCGTGTAATGTTCGTTGTTCATCTTTGGTAATGAAATTGATAGCCACACTTTTTCGACCGAATTTACCACTACGTCCAATACTTAAACAAAAGAACAAAGTTTATCTCTTTTCGACATTATTAATTCTTACCGATTAATATAAATCTGACAATCATTTGGTAGATCATAATTGATAACAAGATTAAGTTGTGCAATATCAATATCAACTTTAAGCGTATCTGTTCTTAACAAGATTCGACTGGAACCCACTCGAAATTCTTTTATGGCATCATTACATTGCTGTGCATCCATATCATAATACTACAATAAAAAGAAAATTAATTCGTATGTTTATGTAAGACTTTACAAATGGTTATTTCAAAACTATCATGATCAAACTAACCACGGTAGACACAGTAATATTATGTGCACGCAATTTTTCAGTTAACCATGTGACCGTTCTCAATCTGTTACAAAAGATGACAGCTTGTGTGATCGATAATATATCGAGCAAATCATATAACGCATCTAATTTCCAATCCTAGATAAAAACAATTCTGCATCAGTTCATCATAGAATAACAAGTATATCTATCTACCTCACGTTCGACATCCACGTAAAATTGACGAATACTTTCGAGCGAATATTCTTCTCTCTTGGTAAGAATTTTCACAGGATCATTCATAAATTTAGCTGCGATTTCGAGTAATTCACTGGACATCGTAGCCGATACAATAATGCCCTGAATAGTTCTTGATAGCATTGTCAATATATCATAAACTTGGTCTTTGAAACCACGTGATAAGAGCTCATCAGCATCATCCAAAACGAACATTTTGATATTTTCACTACCTGCAACGCAAAGAAGGAAAAAAACTATAACACATATAAAATATAAACTACATACGAAATGCTGATGTCTTCAACCCATCATAGATCCGACCTGGTGTACCAACAACAACTTGAACACCTGCTTCAAGACGTTTCGTATCCTCACGAATATGTGTACCACCAATACAAGCATGACATGTCACATTCATATAATCACCTAGTGCTAAAACTACTGCACGGATCTAAATTGCAAACAAAATCGAGAAGTTGATGAAAAATAAAGATCACATGCCAGAAAAAAAACTATACTCCTTGGGCCAGTTCACGTGATGGTACCAAAATTAGCGCTTGACAGTCTTTGCAATTCACATCGAGTTTTTGTAAAATTGCAATAATGAACATTGTCGTTTTGCCTTTACATGACGGTGCTTGCACAATCACATCGTAACCTTTAAAAAGTATGAATATTTATTGAATAAATTTCAGTTTTTGGAGGAATGACGGAAAACGAACCCGAAATACACGGTTTAAGAGCACGTTTTTGAATATCCGTAAGATTTTCCGTACCATAGCTGTGGATACCACGTAAAAGTGGTTCACATAAGTCCATCTGATTGAAATGCTCGATCACTTCTGTCAGATGACTCAAGGTGGTTTCATCTCGCGGTAAAGATGATTTGACTTCATTACGTTCCTTCGGGAGAACATCTGTGCTTCCACTCTGGTGAGTGTCATTCCTTAAAATAAATATCAGTGACGCAATATGTAACATTTGATCAAGCAAAAGTTATAGATATCGTATTGAAAACTGAAAGCCGATTTTTTTTCAACTTCTCTATTCGCAAGTCAGATAAAAACATTCAAGAAACACCACATACTCCAAAGAAGATGGGATTTTACAGTCGTCGTTTGCTTTGATTTCTGTTTGACAATCGCTCATAAATGAAGATAAATAGATAATATATTTGAAATTTAATTAATCTACAAAAAACCGAAGAAAATAATCTCTTGACAACCGATTAGAATTGTATATAACATGAATGTAAATAGATGATTGTAATTTCAAAATTTCTCAATGCCTACAAATGAGTCACAAAATATCTATGTCCTTCAAAAACGAACCAATCAATCATTTCAATGATTTCGAATAAAAATTGATCGAGCTTTTACATAATAACACTGCAACATTAACAAGACAAATAACGACTCGAATCTCATATTATTCTATATTGCTCGGTAGATGGCGTCAGTCGAGACTTTCTATCGACTTTTGTCTCATTAATATGTTTTGTTTGTTTAACGAATAGCAAACAGGTACAATTAGTCAACCATAAGAAAAAGAAAATGTAACCGTAACAAAAATATTTTTTATTCATCGTGTCTTGATTTTTCATTCAATTATCGTTGACAACTGAGTTATTACTTGATATGTTTGAATACCTTCCCATTGTTCATCTTCTTCGAGCATTCTATGTTGAAGGTGAGTGTGGGACTACCACACTCACACTAACCCATTTTGTGTAAAATAGAAAAAGATCAGAGAATGTCAATTCAAAGTGTGATTCAATTTTAAATTAAAATAAAATTTTACTCTTATTTATTCTTCTCATTCATATCTTATGCTATATAAATTGATAAAAAAAATAAGCGACAGAATATTATTTTTAAAAGTCAGTTTTTTATGTAATTTTCAATACATAATATCCATTAGTCATTAAGTTTATTATATTTTTTTAATATTTTGATTAAAGTATCATGTAAAATAGCATCGACTTTAAATCCATTATGTCCAATCATAGTTTCAGCTGCTACCATAGCATTTACAATAGCTTCTTCAACACATTGAATTGTTGCTTCAAATAATGGATTTATTTCATCATTTAATAGAAATTCTACAGTTTTTGTTGTAGACGTTTTATCTGAAATATCAACTGTTGAAAATGCTAAGAAAATATCACCTGATGAATCACCACCTATTCCACCTAATTTTCCTATTCCAAGTGATGCTCTATGTGTCAAACGTTTTAATTGATGTGGTAATAATGGAGCGTCAGTAGCTATAATGACAATAATTGATCCCATATCTTTATCAGGAACCATTGTGTTATTTTTCTCAATTTTTAATATTTCTTCACCAACAGGAACACCTGCGATAATTAATTGAGACTTTCGTCCAAAATTCGATTGTACTAAAACTCCTACTGTATAATTTAAATTTTCAATAAATCTTGAACTTGTTCCTGTTCCAGCTTTAAAACCAAATGATATCATTCCAGTTCCACCTCCAACATTTCCTTCCGGAATAATCGAATCAGATCCTTTAGAATTATCTAATGCTTCAAATACATGTTCTTGTTTTACATGAAATCCATTGATATCATTTAACAATCCATCATATGTTTCAGCTACAACAGGTAAACTTACATTAAAAATATTGACCATTGGAGTAGAAACATTTCTGGTTAAATACCATTTAAATAAGGAATCATGACAAATTCCAATACTATTTGTATTTGTAATTAAAATAGGTGTTGTAAGAAAACCTGATTCTGTAATCCAATGTATTCCTGTCATTTCACCATTTCCATTCAAACTAAACCAATTTGCAAAACAAGGTTGATTTTGTAGAACTTTACTAGCTCCACGCGGAAATATTGCTGTTACACCAGTTCGAATAGAATCACCTTTAATTATTGTACTAAAACCAACTTCAACACCTTGAACATCGATTATTGAATTATATCTATCAGGTATACCATTAAATGGAATTCCAAGATCACGAGCACGAGGTTTCTTCGGATCACTGGAATGGGCTATTGTATTGAAAATATAGAATAACAATAGAATTTGTCTTACATTGATAATTCTGATCGACATGTTTAGATTATTACATATACCATTGATAAACTTTATTTTCTGGCTTATTATATGTTTTTTTTCTTCTTATTGACAACAAGAAGAAAAGAAAGGATTATATTTTACATCTTATATAAATAGTTATGACATTTTCTGTACCATTACATTAACATACGCAGTTGTACTTACAAAAATCCAGTATATTTTACTGATGTTATCATTAGAGTGACACAACAGTTGTTGTCAGATGAATTTATCAATAGAGAAACTAATATAATTGAGAGCTATTGAATATCTTAGTCTGTTTCGATCATTTTATATACAAGAAAAAGGATAAAATCAGATCTTTCCTATTGTTTTACAATCCTGTTCTTATCTACATTAGTCTCGATGATGCATTTAGCAATACAACATAACAGACTTCTTGTTATTTATGTATATTTTTATTAAGAAAAGTATTTTTATTCTATGTAAAATCATGATTTCAAATATTATTACGAATATATAAGATAATTTTATTTATTAAAATTTTGTCAGAATAAAAAACAAAAACATGTAATTTTTTAGTCAAAAAAGTGTGTCATACTGATATGCTTGTTGATTTTGTTGCATACATAAATTAGTTAATGTTTGAAGTTTTCGATGAATAACAGATTGTTTTAATTGATTTTTATCTAGCACATCTCTTAATGAATCAATTTGTTCTTCAAGTTGATGTTGATTAGCAAGCATACGTGTTTGAATAAGTAAATGAAATTGACGCCATTGTTGTTCAAATTCACTTAATGTTATTGATGAATTAGGAATTGATATTTGTTCAGATGAATTTGATTGAGATGATAATGAAAGACAATGAAGAATAATAGTATAGATTTTATGATGACCTAAACGTCTTGCTAATTCAATTGGTAATTCATAACGACCATTTCGAATATTTAAAGATGCATCAGCATGAATTAATATTGCTGTACAACCTAAAAGAAAATGAATTTCTTATCTGAATTCGTTGTTTTTTTTGTAATTAACCTGCATGTTTATATCGAATAGCAGAATGTAATGGAGTATCACCATCTCGATTAATTGGATTTAAATTAGCACCAGCATAAATTAATAAACGACAACATTCATTATGACCAAATTTACATGACATATGCAATGGAGTATTATTATCGTAATCTAAATGTTCAACATGAGTTTCATAATTAAGAAGTAATGTTAAAATTTGACTATAACCATATGCAGCTGCAACATGAAGAGATGTTTTACCATCTCGATCATATAATGAAGTATTCACTTCTTCTTTAAGTAAACGTCGTACAATTTCTGTATGACCAAGATATGTTGCTGTGTGAAGAAGTGATCGTCCATTTAATGGATCAATTGTATTAATTGAATAACCAGCACGTATAAGAATACGAAGAGTATTTTCATCATTTGCTTGTACAGCAGCTAATACAGGATCTCCATTATTCGTATCACCTGAATATGACAATGGTTGAAGAATTGATTTTAGTTGTGAATCAAATGTATTCAACATTATTCAATGTAATGTATTGCATAAGAATGGTTTCACTTTTTCTTAAGTTTCTTTTTCTTTTTTTCATCATCATCATCAGTACTATTTAGTAAAGAGTAGAGTAGACGAAAAAGAAGATTGAAACAGAACGCAACACATTTGTCAATGTCATTTTTTCAAGTAGTACTATACTTCTTATTTTAAAAGAACGAAGAAGAAGAGGAAGAGAAAAAGAAAAATTTTATTTCGCTTTCTAAAAATTCAATGTATTGTTTAAATTAATAATTAGAAATTATTTTTCGTAATCAAATTCTTTTAAAAAAGATTCTTTCATGTAACATGTATTGACAATTATTACTATTTATATTACTTATATTGATATTACCTTTACATAGTATAGAGAACAATATTTCTTTTTTTCTTTGTATTGTATAATTGTTTATTCATATTGTTCAAGTAAAACATGACTGATGACTACTTACTCGTTTAGATCAATAAAATCTTTCAATGAATGAACAAATATAATTATCGATTAATTTGCTTACGAATACTTATAGGTATATTGTTATATATATGTTCAAACGATCGAGAATACAATGAGTCAAAAAATCATTCGTCCCATGTATTTAAATTAAATTAAAAGACAAGTTTCATTACAAATTATTTCTTTTACTCACTGTATGTGTCCAAAAACAAAAAAGAGAAAATATGTTTTTATAGGCGCTTGATTAACGTAATAATAGACCAATGAATGGATATAATCGTATTATTCATACATTTAATCATTACATATATAATTAATGTATTTGTTTATTCTATTTCTTGGTTAATCAACTAATAAAAAAATGAACAGATAATAATGAGAAATAATTTATTTTTCTATTTAAAATCAAAGTTATATCAATACCTTTTTTTATAAAATTTATAAGAATCAGAAAAAAAGCGATATATGAGTAAGTAATATTAATAATTCGACATAGCACCTTTTCAAATATTTGATATAAGACAAAATCTTAAAATTGATTTTGATAGAATAAATATCTATATTCATTGTTATTGTTCAAAAAAAATTAATAAAACAGATGTACATTCAGAATAGCATTGGATTATTAGTAAAACTAAATAACACCATATATTGAAGATTTATAAATATGGAAAATATAAGAATAAATGAATTTGATTCAATTTATTTTGTAACCAAATACTCTATTTTATTAATCTTTATATTTTTGTCGTTGATGGCTTCTTTATTTTAATCTTTTGTTTTCGTTATCAACATGTATTTATAGTGCCCCACATAAATATCATTCACATTTCATTGATAAGAAATAATAAGAAGAAAACATGTCTAGTATTAGTTTCTTGACTATGATAGCCTGTGTGGCTTTCATTTATGTAAGATTTAGTTTTGGTGAAGATTGTTGGTCTAAGAACACCTGTATAGATACTAGTTTATGTGCTGCTAAAGGTGGAACTTCACAGCCAAAACTTTTGTAAGGGTAGTAACAATATTCAATGTTGTTCATGGTAGGAATATGTTTATTATTGATCTTAAAAATAATGATATTGATCTTAGCGCCAATTGTATGGAGGCAACATTATGTAAAAGTCAAGGTGGTATCCCCAGTACTGGTATTTGCCCTGGTACATCAACTAATCAATGTTGTGATAAGGCATATACTTCAGTACCTATTAACGACAAAACACCAGTTAACAGAATGCTCACAGATTTAGCTGAGATTCTTCGTGGAGCTGGTCTCAGTGTTATCGAATCAGAGGGTTGGCAGACACGTGGTCATAGTGTCATGACTTCTGTTAAAAGTATTATTTGTCATCATACAAATGGTCCTGCCACAGGTGACTTTCCTTCATTGAGAATAGTTCGTGATGGCCGGAAAGATCTTGCTGGTCCACTTTCACAGCTTGGATGAGGTCGTAGTGGAACATGGTATGTTATTGCAGCTGGTCGTTCTTATCATGCTGGTGCAACTATTGATGATTCAGTATTTGGAAATCCAAATGCTATTGGAATCGAAGCAGAAGCCGTTGGTGTTCCATTAACAAATAGTGGACATGAATATTGGCCTGAAGTACAATATCAAAGTTATATACGTGGTGTCAGAGCTCTTCAAGCAGCTTATGGTGTTCCAGCTTCACGTGTATTAGGACACAAAGAGGCTGCAGCACCTGTTGGACGTAAACCAGATCCTAACTTCTCCATGGATGAATTTCGTGCTACTCTTGCAAAATAATTTGAATGAGCAGTCATCCTATTCCGGAAAGTTACACATTCCGGAATCGCTTGGCTCACCCAACTTAACATAATTCAATTCCGGAATTCCTTGCATTCGATTCCTGCCTATTCCGGAATTCCTTGAATTCGATTCCTACCTATTCCGGAACTCCTGCACATTCCTACCAATTCCGGAATGACTTGATCAATTGATATTTATCTAAGCCTGGACATGATGACAAATACGGAATTCCGGAATTCGTGTATTTCCAGGAATTCCTGCCTATTCCGGGCGATTCCGGAAAAGCCGGAATGTGCACGAATTCCGGAATTCCGCTACGGAATCGATTCGATTATTCAGGAGGATCATTTCTAGATCAAGCATATCTTTCGTAATTCCAGAATTGGCAGGAATCGAATTCGATCTGTTCCGGAAAAGGCAGGAATTGTATGCAAGGAATTCCGGAATTGAATGATGTTAAATTGGGTGGGTGCAGCGATTCCGGAATGTGTAACTTTTGGGAATAGGAAGCATTCTCATTTGAATGAATACGCTAAACCAATTTTTTCTCATTTATATTTAGTACGGTGATCTATATAAAATTTTAACCAAAATTATATATATATACTATATTGTCTTAAATAACGGCAAAACATATGAATATAATTCATATTCTTTTTACTAGTTTAATTTCAAAACTAAGATTGATGCAGATTCAAATTAGATATCTTTTTAAGGATTACTCGAATGATGACATGAACACGATACGATCATTTTCATATATAGATATAATTCTTTTAAGTAATTAGCAATCATCAATCGATGAATGTCTACTAACATATTTAGTATCCATCGAAACTATCCGTCACTCGTTATAGTATGTTTACATGTTTGTGAAATTTTATTTGAATTAGTTCAAATATCTTAGGTACTCATCGCATGTACGGTAAGTGTTAATGTTCTTTTTATGAAGTTTGTAATAATAAAATATTTTTTCTGATACACTTCAACATCGGCAGCAGCACAATTTATTCCAATTTTTCAAAATTTTACTAAAGCATCAGTTAGTAGAAGTTTTATTTTTGATATCATCAAACGAGTGAATAAAATCTGATACGATAAAAGTTAATATTGAATTTAGTTATCCAGCACATGAAGAATCTTATGTAAGAGTATTTCTTTCTTTTTAGAGGTAGAATTTTATTTCTATAAATTTAGACTTTAAAAAATGTTTCAATGAAAATAACATCTGATTGTAGCAGTTAGTAATATAATCTTTTATTAATTAAGATAATTCATCTGTATATTTATATTATCATTTAGAAAGTACTATCATTCAATTGGTTTCGTTCATTAATGAATATTGTTCTACAAGAATCAGTATTATTTAATCATACTGTTATAGAAATTTCATGTAACTTTTGAAGTTTCTTTCTATGAAGCTATGAAATTCATTGCTTCTTCGCCGAAATGTTGCACTTGAAATTCTCGAATTGAAAGAAACTTATTCTTTCTATGCAAAAAAAATTTTCGTTTGAATTAATTATGATTAAAATATTCAATGTATTCACTATATTCTCTGATTTGATCAATAAAATTTTAAATTATTCTAAAAAAAAACCCACCCGTCTTTTGTCCTCGTTCATTCTATATTTTTTACTTTTACAATGTCAATATACGTCAGTCTTTTTACGCGTAATTATGATTGTTTGTATTCTCTGGGAGGAAGAAAAAACTAAAGAAATTCTGGGTAAAAAAGAATTTGGTTGTCTGCTTAACGTCAACTATACGCAGTAGATGAATGTTTGAAAGAAAAAAAAAATTATTTTTCTATTAAATTGTCGGAGACTAAAATTTTTTTGTTTTCTAGACTGAATTATATTAAGTTTGATTATCAAACGACTACAACAATTATTGATTAAGTATATGAGCTTTTATTTCTTTTCATTTTAGTTCACAATCAATAACAGATTTTTTCTTTTCTGTTATGGAAATAAAAGGAAAAGAAAAATTACTAGTAGTTCAACTGTGTGTGTGTGAAGACATACACCGTTCTACGTGATGTTTTAAACTTATTATATTAAATTTCAGATTGAAATAAAATGCAAACAGAAAAAGTAATTGAACATATAATACAATGGCTCAAAGATTATCATAAAAGTAGTCGTACAAAAGGTTTTGTTATTGGTGTATCAGGTGGTATTGATTCAGCTGTGGTATCAACATTATGTGCTCGAACTGATCTACCTGTACTTGTTTTGGAAATGCCTATTCGTCAATCATCAAGTGAAGTACACCGAAGTCGTGCTCATATCGATTGGCTTACATCAAATTTTCCTAATGTTACTGGAGGTGAAGTTAATTTAACAGAAATTTTCGAAACATTTGAAGCAACTGTTAAAAAAAATGAAGTTAATGAAGTTAATTCGTCATCAGAACTTGCATTCGCCAATACAAGATCACGTTTAAGAATGGTAAAAAAATTCATTTTTTTTTTTCTTTTTATTGACAATTTATTTTAATAGGTTAATTTATATTATTTTGCTTCAATTAAAAATTATTTAGTTGCTGGTACAGGAAATAAAGTTGAAGACTTTGGTGTTGGATTTTTTACAAAATATGGTAAATATGAAATTTAAAAAAAAAATAAAATTTATTTTAATTTATAATAGGTGATGGTGGTGTTGATATAAGTCCAATAGCTGATTTATTAAAATCTGAAGTACGTGCTGTTGCTGATATATTAGGTGTTTCAAAAGAAATTATAAAAGCACCACCCACTGATGGTCTTTTTGGTGACACAAGAACAGATGAAGATCAAATAGGAGCAACTTATGATGAACTTGAATGGGCTATGAATTACGTTGATTCTGATAAATTAAAAGACGATAAAGCAACATTAGCTGATCGACAAAAAACTGTTTTAGACATTTATAATCAACGACATGCAGCAAATTTACATAAAATGGTAGAAATACCACGATGTATTATTCCACAAGAATTAAAAGAATAGAATTTATTTATTTTGATAGCACCAGAAAAAATAACTAATTTTTGTTTTGTTGTATTCATTTAATTTAGAATTTAATTTAATATATATATTAGATACACTTTATTTAATTGAATTATTGAAATTTTCATTATTTTATGTTTGATTATTTGATAATAAATATTACTCAAGTTTGATGTCATTTTTAATATAACCATACATATACTAATAGTGAATTTGTCTCATCAATCTTGAGTTTAGCCCTTTTTAATCATTCTATAAGAGACAGTAGTCGAAAATATTTCAAACAGCTGACTATTATAAAATCTACATACTACATAAGAATTTCTTAGATATTTGACTTTCCTTCTAAATGTATAAGGGCATAGCCTTTTATTCTAGTGTGGGTAACTGATTTCATTTAGTTAATAATTATTAAAATTGATGTTTTATGCTTGTATTTATTTACAAATTATATTTTTTTAATTATGATTATTAATGAAAAACAAAAAATGAATACAATTACAAAAACGAACAGAAATATATATACATAATAAATAAATACATGTCTTGTTTTTAAGATGATCTCAAATATTTTTTCCTTATAGGCTAATCGAGAAAAATATGTTCTAATTAAAAAATATTTATCGCGCATAAATTTAATATAAAGAACAGCTTTATTTTGTTTTTTGAAATTATTTATGCAATCGTTTCTATTTTTTGTCCAAAAGGTTTTTTATATAATGGCAATGTAACTGTTGCAGATATTCTTATATGTCGTTGTCTATCAATTGTTAATGAATTAAGACATACAACAAATGGTAATAAAAGTGTAATGCTATAAGTTACAATGAATAGATAAAGTTGACTGATAAAGCTAACATCAGGATCTTTATCTTGAATTAATTGTATAAATAAGAATATTACCATTGGTAAATCAAGAAAACAATAAACAGCAGAAAGTGAAATTAATTGCATAGACATACGTCGATGTTTTTTCCATTGTATTGGTTGTCGAAGTCTTTTCTTTTGAGCAATAATACGATAAAGTAATGCAAAATTAAATATAGTAATAATTACTGTTGGCATAGCATTATTAACAATTGTATCCCATATAGTAAGAAAATTTCTACCTAAATAACAAGGCTGTGATCCGCATTGAAGATCATTAAAATTAAATGAATTTTCACATGATTGAAAAAAAAGAACATTTATATGAAAAGTAAATATATAGATAATCAAAAGAATAGGTGGTAGATAATGATAAATTAGTTTTTGTTTTTGTGTTGTTACATGTTTACTATGAAATATAAGAATATGACGTTCAATTGATGCCCAAGCAAGTATAGCAGTTTGACTATTATATAGAGCATCATCAAAAAGCCACCAAATTAAACAAAAACTTGATGTAGCTGATGGAGAACGTCCTGTATTATGTAAACTAACAAGTGTCCAAATAATATCTGTGACGATAAGTAATACATTTATGATAATAATTAAAACTATACAATGATTATGTAAACCATTTCGCATTTTTCGATTAGATAAATAACGATAGATAATAAAAATTGAACAAATAAAAGAGAAAATAGCAAAAAATAGAAGTAACCAAAATCGAAGATTATAGGATACATGAGTTATATCCATTTCACCGACTTTAGCAGTCTTAATATGAATTAATGATCGTTTAGAAATTATTCGTTCTTGTTCCATCTTAATTTCTAAATATTAACAAAAATTTACAATAATAAATAAAGCAAAATATGTGGCCTTCTATAGCTTCTATATTTTTCTAATCATATTGTGTTATCAATAGAAAAAATATTTAATTTTGTAATATGATCATTTGATTTTTTTTGAGAAAATTAATTAGTAAAAAGCACGTTCATTATAGACTTATTTATTCGTAATATCAAGTATAATATTTTATTAACATACGTCATAGTTGAAGATTATAATAATATATTTTTTAATGTCATATTTATATTAGATCAATTTTTATAATATGTCAAGATTCACATATTTATATAAATAAACGAATTTTCTCCAGCTAAAAAAGAGTCTTTCGCAACTTATGAAAATCATGTTTTGATTCACATAATTTTTTGTAATTGATAACGTATTTTAGATCCATAATGATCAACTACACCCACATCATATAATGTCATTCCAGCTTTAGCACAAGATTTCCAAGAGCCTTCATTATCTAGTCTTGCAGTAGCAACTATTGATTTAAGTGGATGACCATCTATTGTATAACCATCTTGTTTTAATCGAGCACCATATTGTAATAAAGTGCATACTTCTACTGTACCAATACCAGAATAAATTTTTTTATTCGTAGTTTTCATATCTGCCAATGTATTAGTTAAAGTTATATCAATTGGATGACTCCAACAATCTTGTCTATTTAAGAAAGCCATTTCTGAAGTACCAGGTTCAGATCCACTTCCCAAATTAGCACAGCCTAAAAACATATCTGTTTCAGAATCACACACAGTGAATCCACTATAGAGATATAGACGTGATTTTTTATCTTTAAATCTATTGATAAGTGTATGTATTCTTGCAGTTGTATCTTTAAGAGAAGGAGTATTACCACTAGCATATTTTGCTCTTACAGAATGTTGACTATTTAAATATTGATATATATTATTTATATCTTTTTCTTCTACTGATTCAAAATGATATTGTATTCCATTATATTCTACATCTATATGTACTTTAGTAGTATCATTTGTTTCTGATTCAATTGAAATATGTGCTTGTGGAGCTTGAAAATTAGTTTGAGTTTCAGCATATTGATTAAATTTCAATTTTGCATCATTAATTAAACATAATAAATTGTCATCAGGAGTTGACATCATAAAAAGAAATATTTTCTATCTAAATCAAAAAATATCTTGGCAAATATATTTTTAAATAGCAAATAATCATATCGATTCAGTCATGTTTTCGAAGAATGATACATCGAGTAATAGTTGATAACGATCTCAACATAAATCAGTAAATTTGATAGCTTAAATAAATGCATATAAGTCAAAGGGAAAAAACCGAGACTTCAGGAGTTCGTACTTCAGACATACTCCCTTGTCAAAGGGATTGTAGGAAGTATGAGTAAAGTACGAAGGAAATAAGGGCTTTGTACTTCCATGGTACTTCATTCTAGTGCACTCATACTTCAACAAAAATTTTGAAGTGCATAAAATTTTGCATTCAGCCCTTTGGCCTAAAGCCTTCGTTTTTATCCTATCGAAAACAGAATAGGTAAGCGATTCGAATATCTTTGTACCATAGATGTCATACATCTTCAGAACAATTGATAAACTACTAAGTCAATGGATATGCATACCTATTCTCAATTTGACTCGTTAATGGAATTGAAAAAAGTTGACTATTTTCGTTCGTCTATACTTTTTTCTTCTTTAGTTCTTGATTGAAAGAGAAATGAAAGGATTCTTTTTAAAAATCAAATTAATTGTTTAAATATTTATAAGATGATCGAATAGATGCAAGATACAAAAAAAATATTTTCTAATAAAGTATCGTCAAATACTTTAAAAGATTAATGAAAAAAAAATCAAATTTTCGAGTACAAAAATTTTATGCAGCACAATGAAGAAAAAGAAATGATATATTTATTGATTCTTACTTCCATTTTCATTATATCAATATTTAATCGAGGTAACTGCTTAAAAAAGCCGAGGAGACCATATATATATTTGTTGATGTTAACTATTTCATACACATTAATGTACATAATAACATATCAAATAAAAATAAGTAAAGGAGACACCTATTATCACGTGTAAAGAAATGAATCGTTATATTTATCATGACCATCGTCATACATATGTTATATATCAGATTTTTATCATCATTAACGATACAATATTACTTTTTAATTCTTCATATTCTCACATGTTTAGAACAAAATTGGCATGTTTTCATATAAGATTGAATATATTAGATATCATATTATAGTGATAGTAAAGTGTTTCATATGACAAAACGAATACTTAGATTTGCAATTGAAAAATGTTAAAGTTAATGAAATACCTTAGGTAACACGGACTCTTCCTGATGCCATTCTGAATATTAATATTCGTACGAAGTGAAAACAGAATCGAAATACTAAAAGTCTCTTCGTATGAATATCGATGATCTTTGTCAAAGTCTAAATATTATTAGAAGAGATTTTGTTTCTAATTTACTTTTTTTTCTTAGATATAATTCGCAATAAATTATGAACAAATACACTTAAGACTATTCATATATGAAAAAGATTAGTTTTTTTTTGTTCGAAACAAATTTATCAGGAGAAATTAATCTTTAAAAGAAGAAAAAAAGCATTTAATTCATATCAAAGGAATTAAAGTAGAAATATCGATTATTATATTTCTTATTTATCAATGCAAAATAGGTTAAATATGAAATTAATATAATACTAAACTCCTTGTTTTGTAAAATAGTTAGTTTAATGATTAAAATTTAATTGTTTAGTTAAGTAAAAAAAGAAATTAATTGAAAAAATATTTAAACCAATTGATAAGATCCATGCATTTTAAGTAAATTTACCATACGAAATCCGCAAATAACTGTTAAAATCTATAAAAAGAAAAGAAGCAGAGAAATTAATTTCAAATATATTCGAATTCTTACTGTTAAAATACAAGCAAGACCTGCAATAATAATAATAATGATACTAATAACAATTCCAGTACCAATATGACTTGCTATAGTTGAAACAGCAACAATTGCAATAATTGAAAGAGCAATTATGATACCAATAAAGATTAATTGAATTAATCCTAACCATGAAAACTAAATAAAAAAGAGATATCGAATACAAAAGAAAAGATAAATAAATTTAACATACAATAAGAATAGCTGTTTGACGATATTGTGCAACGACGATTATGAAAATATTATAATAAACTACGGAAAAAGCAGCTAGAATTAAACAAACAAATAATTAGAAAAATATATATTCATTAAAATAGAAAATTTTACCAACGATAACACCAACAATATATGAGCCACTTAGACTGTCTCCACGCATTTCATGTGGTATATTATAATATCGAACTAGAACAATAGTTCGCTCAATAAAATAGAATATAGCAAAAACCTAGAATCATAAAACCATAGAATATAATGTTTTTTTTATATAATCATTTTTTTACCAGTTGAATTGCTATAAGTACAATAAGTACTCCTCTTGTTCTTCGTATATCTTGATAGTCTTTATAATCTTCAACAATTATTGGTTGAGACGCTGTCACTGGTACTACTGGTACTTTTTCGTCCGTTGGATCCATGTACTTTTCTGATGAACTCATATCGAAATAAACGTTTTAATATATCTAGTGTATGTATACAATCACATGAAATAACAAAAAATAAATGAGTCTATATGTATATATGTTGACAAAAACCGAAAAAAAAATGTTTTGCTCACATAAATAACTTAATAACAAATGTAAAGGAAAGAGAACACACGCTCTAAGGTTTTTTTCTTTTTATATAAATGTGAAATATAATGTATATGCACAGCGCTCCTTATAATCTATGTACACGTCGGCTGTTGGATATACAATGCAGTTGTCGATAAACAAACGGGCTAGTGTTTCGTATTGATTGTAAAACATATTGGTTAATGTGTGATTAGTTTTGACGAAAAATATTGAGAACGAAAACGTTTATAGAAAAGAATATTGATATTGATTTTCTTTGTAGATATTATATGTATTTTTTTTCTATAATTATATTAGATACAATAAGCGTTTTAATAAAATCATCAATTATAATTAAAGTATGATAAATTGGCGTGTAGCAAGAAGTAATAGATAAAGATTGGCTCATTGTAAACATATTTTTTATTATTAAATCCATTGAAAAGAATCTATTTTAAAGATTTCTATTTACAGCATGAATTATTTTATCAAGGAAATCTTTAGATACTACATAATGAGCTATAAAGTTTAATTAATTTCTACTAAAATTAGATATTGTAGGTCAAATATTAAACAATTGATATAAAAATATACTGAATAGATTTCTGGCACAATGCACTTGTATATATTTAGAGACTAGAATCTTTGTTAGACATTTCAATAAAATCTATAGTTATATGTGTGCATAACATTGAGAATCGTTCTATTAATAGGCAGAAACTCTATAATGAACTCTCTTATGAATCAATGAATATTATTAAGTTAATTTTTTATCTTATAGAAAAAAATTGTAACCTTTTTTCCATACCGAGTGTATCAAAAGTTATGCATGTACTGTTTGTTGATTAGCATATGATAAAACGTTGATATTTTCCAAAAACATATGTTGTCAAGTTCTCCACAAAAATATATTTATTTTAAATTCAACATTTTTACAGGTCACATAGTATAATTATATAATTTGAATCTACTTCTCATACATGTTTTCTTAATGATCTCTTCAAGTTATTAAGTAGATACTTTAGAAGATTTCTGTTTCTAATTGGAATGTATACTGAATACGCTTTTAGAATTGTTCACAGGTTACATTTATCTAAAAGTATGGTCTGTGTAGACTTTTATAATGAAAACGATCCTCAACATACTATTTCGATTCTTCTTCCAGCTACATTGTTTGGCTTTGCACTACCTAGATTCCAAATAGAAAGAGAACGCAATTTCCTATATAAATACTGAAAAAAATGAACTCAGTCTAGTCATGACTTATATATCTATAATGATTTCTTTGAAAAGGAATAGTCATCTCTCATTATACGTCAGTACATCAATCTGCTATATTAATAAAGTTATGTTTAATAAAAATATTTGCTTGTAGCAACAGAACTAAACTCGTCAATTCACATAATTGTATTCTGCAACCTGTAAAAATATTGAATTCTAATATTCTAAATTAAAAACAAATATAATTTTGCGGAGAACACGAGGGCGTTTTTTTTAAGAATACCAACGTTTCAACAAAATGATCATAGGTTTTAGAATACTATTTGCTTAGAGATATCTTAATATATATTTTTAAGTATTGCAAGATTCTTACCATGTGTTGTAAATAAAATAGAGCGTGTTCCTTACATCAATATTTCATTGATAGAAAAGCGACATATTTTTATTATTTAAATAAGTTCAATAGCAAAGAATTCTTAATAAACTTGCAACGAAAATTTATCTTTTCACTGATAAATATTAAAGCTTCTTATGTTTTGTTCAATTTTAATAAAGTTAATGAATAAACAGCAATATAAACCTAAATAAAATATATTAGATAATAATAATAATAATAATATAAAAATGAGAGAAATATTTACTGATAAACCAATCATTGAAATAGCTATAAGAATATAAGCAAGATCGAGAAGAATTCCAAAACCAACAGTATGTATTATAGTTAAACTAACAACCGTTGTCATTATTGCCAAAACAAGTAGAAGAAAACCACCAATTAATTGTATTAAAGTCAAATAAGCGAACTAGAAAATATTGAAGATTTAAAATAAAAATTAAAAAAAAGAAAAGAAAATATTTACAATTAAAATAGCAGTTGGAAAATATTCAATAACAACAATAATAAAAGCAATAATATGAACAATTGAAATAATAGCTGAATAAATAAATAGAACTAATATCTTTAATTAAAATAATAAAACTCACTAAGAAACAATTCTATTAATGTACTGTTATACATTTTATGTGGATCGGTACGAGTGAAAAAAAGCATAACCATTTGTAGAATAAGATAGATCACCATTATACCCTAAAATAAATATTATAATAATGTTTTTTCAATAATAAATTCTTTCTACCAATTCAATAGTTAGGAGAAGAAGAGTTTTACGTCGTGTATTTCTTATTGCTGGATGACTTAGAAAAAATTCTTCAAGTAATGGTCGTGCTATTTGATTTGATAAAATTGATTTTCTCTCTGTCGAAGATTCAGTTTCCATTTTGAATAAATATTACCTGAAACAAACGAAATTCTTTTCCTTAATAATAAATATACAATTGTTAATCAAAAAATACCTGATTTAATATTTCTTCATAACTAAATATTTTGAACTCAGTTGAAATAATAACATTTAAATTGCATATATGAAAAAAAAATAATCTAAAAATAGTATATACGTATTTATTTCTCTGAAATAATCATAAAAATTAGAAGAAATGTTCTCATCGTTTTTTATGAGTAATGTCACCCTTTATTAACAAATCATTCTATAGCATATGTCAAGCGAATGTCAATAATATGAAAGACTATATTATCAACACGCAGAATTTTCTATAATATTTTAACAAAATGAATTAGACTTTACAAGTTGCTAAAAGCAAATATGTATTAAATTAATGCAAAAAATTGCCAGCAGTACTATCTAATTCTTGTTGGTTTTTTAATAAAAACAAACTTGATGATAAAGTGTTTTATCACTGAAAAGGAATATATAATTTGTCTTTCATAAAAGTTATCGTTATTTCATGTCTCAATTAAACTAGATTATATGATAACTAGGTAACCTATTGGTAATAAAAGAAATTCTATATATCATATAATTACTTACGACATTTAGTTTTTTTTGTAAAACTGTTGTTGACGATGTTATCTTCTATTATTGAAAAATAGAGGAAAAGTCAAAGCACATATATCTATATATAAAGTGACGCATATACGTGAACGTGCCTGTTGCATGTAAATGGGTAATGCGAGATAGTTTCTATATACTTTTTTTTTGTTGTCAACTTGTATATATCAAGAAAGCAGGTGACTACATTAATCATTGAGTGAAAAACCCATGAGAGAAATTTCTATTGCTTCCAATTTTATATATTTTTACACGGATGCACTCTAAATAGAAAATGCACTGACGCAAGAAATTTTTATCAGACTTGGAAAGGTTTAGATAAAAGTGGAGGTTTATTTTCACAAGAAAATATACAACATTTGCCTGAAAATTTCCCCCACGCTTCCCTTAGGCGGCACATCCTTGTATATTTATAGATTTGACATTCAAGGTCTTAATAACTGTGTGAGTAAAAACAATTAATTTAATTCGACTGAATGATAATTTGAATGCACGATGTTATTATGATGGAGAAATAACTCGTTCGGTCATGTTGTTAAAAAGTTCGATATAAAGTAATAGAATTAATTTTTTATCAAAATCTTTTATGGATTAAATAGTAAAAATGTGTTTCATTTTTTTTTGTAACTAAATAACACTTTATGAGTAGGCAGATGAGAATAATTTAGTACGAAAGGAAAATAATGAGTTACCTTGTTTTCATCGTTATGTATATGATTTCTAATTAGAATTCAACTAAACACTTAAATCTTGATTATTTTACATGACCTTATCATTGAACAATCAATGTATTTTAAGAACTAATATAAGTTAAAGCTTAAAAATAAACTAGTTAACCTATGTAATGTTATTTGCTAGATAATTACAAGGAAAAATAATTAATCTAATAATACTATTAATTAAATCTTATTTATAAAGGAAAAAAATTTATTTATATATTATACTTACAATTCAAGCAGAGTTGTTTTCTTAGAGAACATGATAATACTGTAATAGTATCCTTTCTATATCGATACGAACACGAATTCATATATATAATATATCGGCATTCATGATACATTAAATAAAAACAAAAAATATCACGCATTTGCTCGTATAAAAGACTTTAAACCCGTGTTTAATTCAAGAGATCTATTTTTAACTAATCATATCGTTGAACTTGAAAGTTCTTTTTATTAATAGACCTTTTATTGTATCTAAAGATAGTAATAATTATTTTATCTATATTAAGTCAATTGAACTACAAAGGAAATCATTTTTGAAAACTTTACAAAATATTCTATTATTGATAAATATATATATATATGTAAGTTCTATCCAAACATGTATTAGACTTGAATGTTTGAATTTGACCTAGAATATAGTCACGTTCATTTAATTAATAAAAGAGTAGGCAGAGATGAAAGTTGGTACGATTATCTGATCGTACATCGACATATAATTAAAAAAAAAGATTGAAAAAACTGAACGTCTGCTGATATTGTAGGCAAATATTAGTATTTAGACTTAAAAGTACTTACGTAATCGTCGATAAATTTTAGAGTTAATGTATGTTTAATCCTAAATATAATAACTGATGATAACGACTTATATATGAAAAAAAAATAACCTTGAAATAGACAGAATGTTTATTATAATCCATGACAGAATTTATCATTTTTGTTTATGTCTTATTGGAAAAAAGCTTACTTCACTGTTTTTCTATAATTTCTAAGTCGGAACAAATATGTTCTTATCTAATAAAACTATATGAAATATAATTTTGATTTATAATCAACGTCAAAGTACATTGCTTTATCTATGAGAGTATATTAATTAACAAGTTTGATCTAAAAGTAAATAATAATAAAATCAACAACAGAATTAACTTTCAGATTATATACATATTTCATATATGCTCATTTATTTCACTTCTACACTATTTTTTGTTAAAAATTAGTGACTGTAATGCTCATCAAAGAAATGAACTGCATCGACAAGAAAGATCGCCAAGATGAACTTCATTTATATACAGATAATCGATATAAATGTCATCGAATGTTGTTTAGTCGTATACTATTAACGATACTTACTATAGTAATTTGATTGTCGATGATCGTTCTATGCGTTCACATTTTAAGTATAGATTTAATGTGTTTGTAAATATACGTGAAATATTGCTTTGAACCATCTCAGAGTTTTTTGACTATTATTACAGATAGAAAATTTAGATTGTTGTTCATGTCAAAGAATCAATTTCCAAGAAACTACTGAATATGTATATTCTTTGTATATCCATCTTTATTAAATTGGAAAGTCATACTTATTGAAAGGAAATAATAATATAATCCAATGACAGTTGCTTTGAGGACTTTTCCTTTGTCTTTTCATGGTATGTTTCCAATCACGCTACATATATATATACATGTTATTTTACCTATCTGTTCTTCTCTCTTTGATTCATTGTTTGTGACTTGTTGTTTTCTCCGATTGTCTTCACATATACAAGAAATCAAATATATTTGTATTTTACTATGAATGGTCTCAGAAATAGATTTCCTAATGTCATATTATTGATGATATCAATAGTTATTATAATGAAAAAGCGATTTATATAGATAGTAGTTTATTAAATGATATTCAATGTGTTTTACATAATTCAGAAACCAGATATTTATGGTCTTGCTCGTAAAGATGATTGTGAATTATAACTTTAATAATACTCTTGAGTTTGTGAGTATTAAACGAAAACAAAAACAACGATTTCCCATTGTCTCAATATGTATTCTCATGGAAAACTTCAAATATCATATTATATTGATTTTTCCTATTGGATAAAATAGAATATCAAGTAAATACAATGCCGCATTGAAACTATTTATTAGACACATATTGTTAGTAATAACAAGTATATATATATCCTATTGCATATATTAGTTTCATAGAGATTGCGCTAGTTACTATTTCTTTTGAGGAAAAAAAAACATTGGATGATCTCACATACATAAACGATGTGTCACCGTTTAATATACTGTGTAACAACAACGAATTCATATAGCATCACTGTTGACGACAAACAAATAAATTTCTATTGGTTGAATACATTCATTTAACTTGTATTTAAACCTTTCTATCATAACATATATTCATAGATAGGAAAAAACATTAACAATTAGCTTTTTCACATATTTTTCAATTGAATAAAATCTTCTTCGACTAGACTGATTTATTAATTGAATCCATATTTTACCATGATCCCAAATGTCTTCTTCCTACGAACTAAAGACGGCTGAATTTACGTCATTTACACTCATATTTATTTGACGCTATATATTCTGTATGTTATGTCGTCAATAGTTTATTTACTTCCTTGATTCGTACATTGAATTAAAAATTTTCATTTTAAATATTTTTTAGTCAAAAAAATTTTATCTATTTTTATAGATTTTTTCATAGAAAAATTCAACATGCCTGATAATAAACTATACGATATCCTTGGTGTTACACGTGGTGCAAGTGATCAAGAAATAAAAAAAGTATGTTAAATTAAAATTTAAAATTTTTTTTTTGATCTATTAATTTACTTTTTCTATATAGGCCTATCATAAACTTGCTAAGACTCATCACCCAGATAAAAATCCTGAATCAGCTGAAAAATTTAAAGAAATTTCATTTGCTTATCAAGTTCTGACGGATGAAACTAAAAGACAAGTTTACGAGTAAGAAACACTTCTTTTTTATGTAAACAAAACATTATTTTGTTTTTCTATATTTATAGTATGTATGGTCTTGAAGGCCTTAAAGAAGGTGGCGGTGGTGGTGGTGGCGGAGGTCAGTATTATAAAATAAGCAGATAGTATTCAATAAAGTTCCTTTAGTACATTAGAATCATACCTACAGTTTTTTTTGTGGGCTCTATTTATTAAACCCTATTTTTGAGTTTTCAATCTAATGTGAAGCACTAAAAGTGATCCTGTAATCTTAATACTTTAATATTGTGATGAAAAGAGATAAAATAAAATAATTACCATTTCGAATAGTTCTGTTTTGATTAAATCAAACATATAAGTTAATTAGGATTAGATCAAGTCCTGCGGAGAGATGTACGACACTCAAAACATTAGTATTTAGGTTCCCTTTCTTCAAAATATAGTTGGTCTTAAAAATTCATATTGAATACTATTAAATCTTTTCGTATATTTTAGGTAGTATGGCTGATATTCTTGGACAATTTTTTGGTGGCGGCGGCGGTGGCGGTGGTGATCCATTCGGAGGTTTTGGTGGTTTCGGCGGTGGTTTTGGAGGCCTTTTTGGTGGTCAAATGGGCGGCGGCGGTGGTGGTGGTCGTGGAAATCGCCGACGTAAAGGTGATGATGTAGCTCATCCACTCAAGTAAATTTATTTATTTTATTTATTTTTATTGAACGCTTTATATAAATCTAATAGAGTAACACTTGAACAATTATACAAAGGTGATACACGTTCACTTGAAATATCACGTAAAGTTATTTGCGAAACATGTAAAGGGTAAGAAAGTTTTTCTAATTTTTGTTTTTCATATTTTTAATTTTTTTTTTAATTAGTAATGGTGGACGCGAAGGTGCTAAACAATCATGTGCATCATGTCGCGGTCAAGGTATTCAATTTATAACCCGACAAATTGGTCCAGGTATGATTCAAAGAATGCAACAAGTATGCAAAGAATGTAGTGGAGAAGGTGAAATAATTAATGAACGTGATCGTTGTAAAACATGTAATGGAAAGAAGACAATTGATCAAAAGAAAAAACTTGAAATCGTCATATCACCAGGTACTAACGAAAAAAAGCTTTTTGGTTTATTATATTTCATATACAAAAAACTTTAGGTAGTAAACATGAACAACAACTTCGCTTTCCTGGTGAAAGTGATCAGGCACCAAATATGGAAGCTGGTGATGTTATTATTGTATTACAACAAGAACCACATGCTACATTTGAACGTAGTGGAGATAGTCTGGTTATGAAACATAAAATAAATTTAATTGAATCATTATGCGGATTTCAATTAGTTATTACACATTTAGATGGAAGAAAAATAATTCTTAAACATCCACCAAATGATCCTATTGCACCCGGTATGTTAGATCAAATTTTCAAATAATAAACTTTTAATTCTTTTCTCTAGAAACATATCGATGTGTAAAAGGACAAGGTATGATAAATATGAGAACTCATGATACTGGAGATTTAATTATACAATTTGATGTCGAATTTCCAGCGGAAAAATCTCTTACAGATGTACAATTGAAAGTAATAGAAAAAAAAAATAATTTATTTAGAATTTCATTTTGTTCTTTGTTTTTTCTTCAGCAACTTGAAACAGTTTTACCTAAACGAACACATGTTGAAATACCAACAGGTGAACATGTTGAAGAAGTATCTATGATTGATTTTCATACAACGAAATCAGCACATGATAGTAGACATGGTCAACGACGTGAAGCATATGAAGGTGGAGATTCAGATGATGAAAGTGGACAACCTGGTGTTCATACATGTAGATCTCAATAAAAAGAAGAAAATAACAAAATTATCAAAACTTTATTATTTTCATTTTATAATTAGAAACGATCGAACAGAAACATTTATTTCAAATTGAACTTTGTTCTTTTTTTCCTTATTTAATTGAGTATTTTGCACTTGACTCTATATCTACGATGATGCTTTCAGTTTCGTTGAATAAAACAAAAAATTCTAGAGATGAAATATCAAATAAACGAACAAAATTTTCACTTACAAAGCAATTTTACGTTAAAATATATTTATCATTTTCTAACAGATTTAAAACATAATATAAAATAATAATTCAACATGATGATGTTATGAAATCTAATAAACACGTATATGATTGATCTATAGAAACAATATTCAAGAAATCGATTCATGAAGTAAAAAAACAATTGATCGTTAATTATTATAGGAAATTTTCTATCTTGAAGAGAAGCTTTGTCATAAGGATAAGTTGAAATGACAAAAGTCATCTTTTTATGTTGTTAAAACGATCTTATCTGTTATCATCGTCTTTATTTTCCATCTGCAAGGTATATGTTTATTAAAATATAGAATCTACTGTTATTACGAATAAGACAGACGAAAGAAAAATCTTTCATGGTGGACACATAGTAATTAATGGATTGTATCCACTTCACTTCAAAGAATCAATTGTTTATAGATACATGAAAATTCAACCTATTGACCAACTTGAAATTATTTTATTTGAAAATTTATGTCATGTCATGATAATTTTTTTCTTTTTATGTTTTTACTGTTTCAGATAAGATAAAATTATATTTACAATATGTCAGCCTTACAAAGTTGGGAAGAAAAAGCTCGTCAAAAACAAACTGCATTACATGATTTAATTCCTCAAGAATGGAAATTATCTGAATCGGTATTAAATAATCCTCCAAAGAATTTAACAATAGTTCCATCTCAATGTGGAATTCTTTCCACACTTGATCTTGAAATAACTGAAATTGATAATATTGAAGAACTTGC